AGAATTAACATGGCCAGTTTTGCATGTGAGAGTCACAGTAAATAGGGAGCTGGCAAGAACAAATAAAAGGGCTACCCCAAAGAAAGCCAAAGTAAAGAAAGTCAAGAAAGCGATACAACGGGTCTATTCTGCTCCATATTGCTTGCTATAGAGGGAAAACTGCTTTCTTGTTGCATCGGCTCATCTCAAGCGTGCTTCATTGTCTGCAATAGAGGTAAAGCTGCTCAATTTTGGATCTACTCATCTGGGTAAAACAGGGGCTGTTGCGGTGAAAATCTACAACACAAACGAGTACACAGAAAGTACACAGAGACTGACAGAGTGTTGGTGCCACTAAAGTCCGCCACTTTTCTCAGGGGTCTCACTAACTCTTGGCAACGTGGTGAGTCCTTCTCCGTCAGTCAAATGCATCCTGGGGCGACTGTTGGGGTTCAACCTCGTGAGGAGTCCGTGAAAGTTCAACGAAACAGTCTGGCACAGTCAAGCTTTTTTTGTGGAGTTCTGTAGTGAACATTACAAGACGCACACACACGCATGACCCCTTGTACACATGCACAGTCACTGCCTCACTCAGACTCAGCTCAGCACCTCACACTCACTCATGAGCTCTCATCCTCAGTCAATCACTGACTCGCCCAATCACCCACTCCCTCAGTCATTCACTCACTCACCCACAGGCCACCCTTATCGAAAACTCTCAATCAAACAACTCTCTCTCTCTCTCTCTCAAAACACCAATGCCAACTTTACTAGAAGTTTGTTTCCTCGCAAGAAGAACAAGAACAAGAACAAAACGGAAACGAAAAGAAGAAGAAGAAGAAGAAGAAGAAGAAGAAGAAGAAGCAAAGAAGAAAAAGGCAAAGGTAAGTGAAGGAGAAGGAAGAGATAGAGGAGGAGGAAGATAGAGTGGGCGAGAAATAAAGATTGTGATGCCGACAGGGGTCGCCCACTGCCTTCATGACGGCACGGTGCAAGTGCATGGGGGGAGGAAGCGGTAGCTCCAACAGTCCGAATGCACGACCCCATGTGCTCAAAGCCCATCCGAACCTGGCTCCATATGGCGCCTGGAACCAACCACAATTCAAAAACAATACAATGTGGCCTGTCGATACAAGCTGATCGATGGCCCAGATTGTTTGTTTTTTTTTTTTTTTTTTTTTCCCATTCTTTTTCAAGTTGTGTACCTCTCTGAGTCTCTGCCCATTTTTTTCTCCCCTTGGGCGTTACGACACCCCTCTCATAGCCCCTGATTACCTCGCTGCAGCCTGTGCCTATTTTGCACAGGACCAAGATACTCATTACCCAGGTCTCACACTTCCTTCTTTTCTTTTCCCCATTTTTTGGCTTTCCCAGGTAAAAAGGGGTTGGCTTGCCAGGGCCCAGCTGTCTGGTCAGGCCAACCTAAGCCACATACAAAAAAAGATAGAAAAACTTTGAACAATGGAATTTTCAATCTGGAAAGATGCATTCAAGCTCAACCTCAGGAAAGATGCATTCAAGCTCAACCTCAGGAAAGATGCATTCAAGCTCAACCTCAGGAAAGATGCATTCAAGCTCAACCTCATCCATTCAACTGCATGTTTGCTACCAAGACGGCGACCAAATCACAGTTTTCTTCTTCTTCTTCTTCTTAAAGGGCGACGGCCTCGAGATATCATCATTGAGCTGACCGGCCGCAAGTAATGAATTCAGAATTATCATTTATGTCTGATCGTTTCGGGGTTCGAAGTCGTGTCTGTATTTCAACAGTTCATGGGTGTACCAACAAATCATAACTCAATCTGAGCCTGAGAGTCATTTTTTAAATAATACACGAAAAGTCTTTGTTCCTTTGAAAATTACACAAGCCTCCTGTAGTATAACACCATACATCGTCATAGGGAACTGCCCAGTGAATAGTATACGACGAGTGAGGAGAGGACAACACACAATAGGACTGTGACAGACTTCTTCGTCGGAGTTTCACCGACTCATACCCTGTACATTATATACAAGTCCTTCATAAACACACATACACACACACACACACACACACACACACACACACACACACACACACACGCACACACACACACACACACACACATACACACACAATCAGTTTTATGCCTGTCAATCTTTTACCTGTTGTCTGTCCTCCCTCTGAATTTTTCTAAGTATTTGACCGTGTGCCCAACTGAGCACCCTTAAGTAGTGCCAAACAGTCGGTGGTTCCACGTCTGGAGTGCCTACTGCACTCTTAGGGGGGGCGCTCGGGTCGGGGTGTATGTGTTGCCTGTGGGTGATGACGGATGCTCGTCCGAGTGTCTCCCTGGCTCAGTGGGTGGTGACAACCAACAGTCTGCGGGGTAATCGTGATGTGAGTAGGTCGTGTGCCGCTTTGCTCCGTGTTGGATGTGTGCACGGCCTCGTCTGTGCTCCGCCGCTGCCCTGCTCCCTGTCCCGCTTGCTTCGCATGTGGTTCTTTGCAGGTTGATGTGTTCGCTGTGTGGTGTGGCCGTGTTGTTGGTGTTGCCTTCCGCTTCGCTGCTCAGCTGCCTTGCTGCCCTTCCGCTGGTCATGCCTATTTGCTACTTGCGGGCCTTGTTGGATGGTTGCCTTCTCGCTGATGCCTTGTGCTTCGCTCCACGTTTGCTGAGCTGCTGGTCCGCTCGCCCTGTCGTCCCTTGCAGTGTGATTACCTTGCTTGTGCTGCCTTGTGCTTCACTACATGGCTGCCGCGCTGCATGTCGTGATTGCCATGTCGTTCCTTGCGGTCGTTTTTGGCGTTGTGCAGCCGTGTTGCCTCTACTGTGTTGCCTGGTGCTCCACAGGGTTGCTGCCCGCTGCTATGTTCCGCTTGGGGACAGCCTGCCTTCAACAAGGGCAAAGGGTTCATGACCCAAACCATCAAATATGGAGATTCCGCAGATTGTCGAGGGTTCAGCCTCCTGATAAGTTGGTGCAACTCCGACGAAACAATCTCTCATCATCGGTTTTTATTTTTCTCGGTCTTTGAAACTTTTATGGACTTGTACATTTTTCTGATTTGCCTACCATGTATGCTCGTTTACCGTCTACAGTCCTATATCCGTCGGGCCTGCCTTCCAGCCCTCGTTCATTTTTTTGTTGCCTGCCGTGTCTGCTGCTTGTGTATTGTCTTGCCCTCCTTCCTCCCCCATGCCCTCCAACCTATGTGTTGTCATGCTGCTTGTGGCCTGTGTGTTTCATTGTCGTCCCTTCCTTGCCTTTTTTTGGACTCATCTCCACTCAGATGCGTATTGTCCTCCTCCTCCTGAAGTGTTGCGATGGTATGGTGCATCGTTTTTACTGTGCACAGGCTGTCTCTTATACACATCTAGATGTGTATAAGAGACAGCCTCCAACCTATGTGTTGTCATGCTGCTTGTGGCCTGTGTGTTTCATTGTCGTCCCTTCCTTGCCTTTTTTTGGACTCATCTCCACTCAGATGCGTATTGTCCTCCTCCTCCTGAAGTGTTGCGATGGTATGGTGCATCGTTTTTACTGTGCACAGGTGTCCGTAATATGTGTTCACACACACATACACACACACACACACAATCAGTTGCCTGTTTGTCTGTTTTCTTGTTGTTGTCTGTTCTCCCCCTAATCTTTTCTGTGTTTTTGTTACCCAAACTGAGCACCCTGAAGTAGTGCCAAACAGTCGGTGGTTCCTCGTTTGGAGTGTCTACTGCACTCTTATGGGGGCCGCTCAGTTCGGGTTGTCTGTGTTGCCTGTAGGTGATGACGGATGCTCGTCGGAGTAACTCCCTGGCTCAGTGGGTGGTGGGAACCAACAGTCTGTAGGGATCAACCGTGATGTGAGTAGGCCATGTGCTGCTTTGCTCCGTGTTGGATGTGTGGACTGCCTCGTCTACGCACCACCGCCGTCTTGCTGCCTGTCCCGCTTGCCTTGCATGTTGCTCTCTGCAAGTTGCTGTGTTCATTGTGTAGTGTGGCTGTGTTGTCGGTGTTGCCTTGCGCTTCGCTGCTCCGCTGCCTTGCTGCCCACTCGCTGGCCGTGCCCTTCGTGTTTCCGCGCTGCGCGCCATGTCTTCCTTGCAGTCGTTTTTGGCGTTTTGCAGTYGGGTTGCCTCTACTGTGCTGCCTAGTGCTCCACAGGGTCGCCGCCCGCTGCTGTGTTCCACTTGGAGACAGTCTGCCTTCATCAAGGGTCAAAGGGTTCATGACCCAAACCATCTAATACGGAGATTCCCGCAGATTGTCGAGGGTTCAGCCTCCTGATGAGTCATTGCAATTCCGACGAAACAATCTTGTCATCATCAGTTATTATTTTTATTTTTTATTTTTTTCGGTCCTTGAAACCTTTATGGACTTTAATTTTTTCTGGTTTGCCTGCCTCGTGTGCTTGTTGTTGTCTGCTGTCTTATATCCATCGTGCCTTCTAGCCCTTGCCTTTTTTGCCTGCTGTATCTGTTGCTTGTGGGTTGCTTGCCCTCCCTCCTCCACCGTGCCCTCCAGCCCATGTGTTGTCTTTCTGTTTGTGGCCTGTGTGTTTCGTTGTTCTTACTTCCTTACCTTCGGACTCACTCCACTCAGATGCGTATTCTCCTCCTGAAGTGTTGCGGTGGTATGGTGCATGGTCTGTATACTGTGCAGACGCGTCCGCAATATGTGTTCACACACATCATCACACACACACACACACACACACACGCGCGCGTGCGCGCGCAAACACACACGAACACACACACACACACACACACACACACACACACACACACACACACACACAAACACACACACCAGCCTATGCCCTCACACATGCATCGCTAAGAGTCCTAAGACTGACTCTTCGCTGTACAGAAACGACAAAAGAAACAGAAGGCATGGCAGGACGCAATTTGCATAGCGTTGAGAGAAGAGAAGTGAGGGATAAGCCCAAGCAAGGAGATGTAAAAAGCTCATAGTGAAAAGCTGAAAAGCTGAAAACCCATAACTATTATAATAACAACAAAGTTAGATAACTTGAATAGAGCTGATGAATTAGGCTTTTAGAGAAATTTGGAAACGCTCACTCCAGTTTGAAGTACCGAGTCCAGAAGAGAACAAATCTGGAATCAAAGCAACGCTAATACATGCTATACTATTGTGCACACAGTATCGCAATTTCTTTCTTTTCACCAAACCATTCTTGTGGTTCTGTTTTTGCCATTTTAAACGATTCTTTTGAATTTCTTTTGGCCACTTCCACCGCCATTTTCGCAGCGGTTTGGCGATTATGACCCTACTGATCGGACTCTCCCCGCCTCCTTCAATAAGACTTCCTTATGTAAATATGTAAATGCGGAAGTCAATCCAAGTGGTATTCACTATTTACTATTTACATAAGGAAAAGGATAAAGATAAGATTTTATGAATCCCAACTGAATCACAAGGAAGAAGGAAGAAAAGGGGAGCCGAATGTCGATGCCGTCGAGTCGCTGTCAAGTCCCCCTCGAGTCGCCGTCAAGTGGTGGCCATCGAGTCAAACGAAACCAAGAAGATAGTTGATTATCGGGACCTGAGCAGCATGGTTCACAAATTCCGCAGCTTCCGCCTCTGCATACCAAGAAGGAAGGCTAGCGTTTTGGCAGCACCAAAGGAAAAAGCCTATTCTTGTTGTCTTTTATAAGGACAAGATAGGCGCATGCACAGAGAAACACGGCGACGCCCAAGCTGGAGGTAGTTCCCGAGCAATCGCTTTCACGGCATCCAGTGTGGCAATCAACATCTTCTTCTCTATCCGAAGCAGCTTTGCAGCCACCACTTTTTTCGGATCCTCATTAGGGTTTGCGATCTACACCCACGGATGAAGGCACATTTCACACACACACACACACACACACACAGAATGCATACACACATGAAAATCGATGAAATAAGTGTTCCGTGTCAGATGACATACAAGTCAGACAGATTCGGCCATGAAATGCATGCCACACAGATTCACAGACAACGGAGGACATGCATGTCACATAAATGTGCGACATGTATGCCACACTGCTCATGCGTAACAGACACGCGACACATGGGTGTCACCACATCACAACGGCTGTCAGGTGACATATATGTCATGGCAAACGACATCCATGTCACACACAGAAAAAAACGATGAGTTGGACATATGCAATTTGATCCCTCAACCTGTGTATCAACGGTCAGAGGCACTCACAATTTCGCACCAGGCAGAAGGACACACCCAGCATGACCTTCACATTCAAGCAGATATAAAAAAACTAAAAATAAAAATAAAAATAAAATAAAAAAGAAACTCTTGCATAAAAGAAAGCCAACAGCTACCGAGTACTGGAGTGAACAGACAACAGCTTCTTCAATCAGGAACAATTCCAGCTAAGGCGGAATCAATGTAATCATGAAAGACAAATCAACTTGGTTTCATCTTGCTCCCTCTCTCTCTCTCTCTCTCTCTCTCCCACCACCACACACACACACACACACATGTAAAGCAAAACAGATTACAATGACCTCCCACACTCACATTTAATGGCGGAATGGAGGGAGGGGAGGGAAGCCGCAGTGCCAAATTGTGTAGTTTGTAGGATTTGAGATGATAGTTCTAATCAACAACAGAGAGATATCAACCCCTGCCTACCTTCTTCCCCCGAATACAACGTACGGTCATTATAGCTGTATTTGAGGCATCTTTCAGTCTAGATACAGCTATAAAGACCATACGTTGTATTCGGGGGAAGAAGGTAGAGGATTTGTTTTGCACCCTCATGTTGCTTGCCGGAAAAGATTCCGCAGTCGAACAGAAAGGGAGACAATTATAAGCCCACTCGCACTAGGACTTTACAGGATGATCACACTAGAACTTCCTTGAATGAATCTGTCCGCAATTATGACCCATCAGTCAAGAAAGACCTGTGGAAGTCTGCACTCAGACATAGGTGTGAGATTCCTCCGACATAGGTGACTGACATCGGCAGAAGTGATCTTTGAGATGCCAGATGTCAGAGATCTCCCTGGCCGTCATCCGCCAAAGTCGTAATGCGAATGTCATGCCCTTAGAAAAGGGCATTATGCATTTACCCCAGGAGCATGCACTGCTGGGGCAAGTGATGCCCTACTGAAGGGCATTTAACAACACCCGACACAGAATAAAATTCACTGAAATCAGTGAAATGGCTGAATCCCCTTACCACAACAACAACAACAACAACAACAACAACAACAACAACAAAAAAAAAAAAAAAAAAAAAAAAAAAAAAAAAAAAAAAAAAAAAAAAAAAAAAANTCTCTCTCTCTCTGTGTGTGTGTGTGTGTGTGTGTGTGTGTGTGTGTGTGTGTGTGTGTGTGTGTGTGTGTGCGTGTGTGTGTGTGTGTGCGTGTGTGTGTGTGTGCGTGTGTGTGTGTGTGCGTGTGTCTGCTCGTTGTCTGTGAGTGGTGTGCATGTGTGTTCCAAACAATCACCACTGCAACCCCTTTTCTAACACACACACACACACACACACACACACACACACACACACACACACACACACACAGGTGTTCTGAGGTGAATGTAGATGAAAGGGAAATCCAAGATAACACACAGGTGGGCAAATTTGTCTAGTTACCCTGGTTGGACTGCCTGCGAAGTACTCGTTGAGTTCAGTCCGGGACCATAGGAGCGGAGACTCTACTGCAAGCTGACCTCTTCCTCTTTGACGATCTAGCTCTCTGATATAGGGATACCAGAAAGACTCCTTGCCTCTCTTCTTTTCGTACATAAGATAGAGAGCCAGGCACGCAAGTTCCGACAACTTATTTGTCGTGAGCAGCTCCGCTGTTCCACATTACCATCATCAAAACCAGACACAAATCAAATCAAATCGCATCAAACCAAATCGACGAAACAAGAGAAGAAACCAACAGCTTCAGAGAAGACACAGATAACACCACCTCAAGGAAACAAACAGCCTTTTTTTTTTTTGACAAAACAGATTCAGAATCGGCTGAGCGTACCCAGGACTCGTCCATAATTCCATATTAGTTCCCGTCGACTCCATGAAACAAACTATAATGAAATCACAAAGTGTCCTAGTCGTACAAGCTACACAACGACCAAAGTTTCGTAAAATGAAATCACAGAGTGTCCGAGTCGTACAAGCTACAGAACGAGCAAAGTTCCAAACACACCTGGGCACAATAAAATCAGCCATCCACCACTCTCTACATCAATAAGCTTAAAAGAAAATCAAGAACGCAATGACAATTAAAAAGAAGAGGGGATCTGCGGTTGGCCGGGAAGGGGGAAAACACAAAAGAGCAGCGATCGCAAGATAGACAGAGAGAAGAAAGCTGCGATGATGTTTCTCCTCCTTCCTTGACCACAACATCGTCTGACAATTCACTGTCCCCTCATCAATTTGCTGAATGTTTTTCTTTTCTACGTGCCAACAATTCCAATCCATCCTCCTTCCAGACATCCGTGCAAAGTGGAACGATACAGACTATTACAGAGCAGATTTTTAGCATGGCCCCTGCGGACGAATGACCCGCATAAATCGAGAAATGGTGCAAGACTGCAAATTAATTGTCTTTTTTTAAGAGAAAAAAAATCCTGTGCTGTTGTGAAAAAAAAAAAAAAAAAAAAAAAAAAAAAAAAAAAAAAAAAAAAAAAAAAAAAAAACAAAACCCAAAAGTTAGGAAGGCATTACCCAAAGCTGTAAAGCTCAAATTCATTTTCCTGTCGAGGGGCCAGACACCTCAATACCATTTGAGGCAAACGGCCAGGCAACAGATTTTCTTTTTTTTTTTTTTTTTTTTTTTAGGCGACAGAAATTATGACCCTAGAACATATGGGTCCATGAGGGTCAGGCCCCACCGGTGCTACGTGACTGTTTCTGTGACCAGGTTCAATGCTTCTTAGCAGAAAGTGCCAGAAACAATGTTCCCTGAAGACTCTGAACATAAAATGCTCGATTTCAATAGTCAATACTATGTACAACAAAGGGCTATACAAAGTTGCTATACAAAGTCAACCTCGCAACTAAGTCCACCATGCAACAAAGTCAGGCTCATGAGAAGGTCAACCTTGTGACAAAGTCAACCTCGCTACCCTGAACATGAAATCCTCAATATCAATACTATGTACAACAAAGGCCTATACGAGGTCAACCACGCAACTAAGTCAACCATGCAACAAAAAGGCAGGCTCATGACAAGGTCAACCTTGTGACAAAGTCAACCTTGTGACAAGGCCAACCACAACAAAGGGGTATACAAAGTCAACCATGCAACAAAAAGTCACGCTCATGACAAGGTCAACCTTGTGACAAAGTCAACCTTGTGACAAGGCCAGCCACAACAAAGGGGTATACAAAGTCAACCTCACAAATAAGCCAACCATGCAATAAAGTCAATCTCGTGACAAGGTCTACCTTGTAACAAAGTCAACCTCGTGACAAGGTCAACCTCACTGCTCTGAAGTTCTGAACATGAAATCCTCGATATCAATATGCCATGTGGAGCCAAGGGCTATACAAAGTCAACGCGACAACAAAGAACCTTGCACCTTGGAGTGAAGTCAAGCTTACGACAAAGTCAAGCTTGTGACAAGGTCAATCTTGCGACAAAGGCGGACTTGCAACGAAGTCAACCTTGCAATGGCCGGTCCTTGGACTAAATAGAATGATGGATCATGGATTCCTTTTATTTTATTTTTTTGTCATGGATACTCAAAATCACTCCATAGATAAGTAATAAGATAGTGGCATTTATAAGAAGGATTTCTGGAAAGATGGATTTAGTAAAAAATTTAAAGATCATTGTCAAACATGGCTATCTTCTCTTTTTTGGTCGGTCCCTCCCCCCCCCTTCCCCCCCCTCTCTTGCCAAGGACGAAATGAACAAACATACAAAAAACTGTCAAAAGGCAGAAGCCGTGGATCGTGGGGGAAGCTCCCGAAAGTTCGGAGGTAGACGAGTGTTACATCTTCGACGCCACACGGGTCCTACCGGACCCGACTTAGGGCTAGAGGGACACATCAGGGCCTAAAGGCCCGACCTTGGGGGATAACAGGCCGAAAGGCCACGACTTGGACCCGATTACGGACCAGGCCCAAATGACATTTCGTCTTTGGGCCTGGCGGCGCCGTTTGAGGCTGCCGCTCTCCGGTTGGACCTGAATCGTCGATCTGGACGGTTCAGCCCCAACCAAGGCCTCGCAGCAGTGAGGCCGGTCCTCTTCGAACCAGTACTTAGTACTGGTCCGGCCTCACTTCGAAGGCATCGACCTACTGGCATTCTACCGGTACGGTATGGTACAGCGCAATACAGCGCTGGCGCTAAGTTTAGCGCAGGAGCAGCGAGGAGCACAGCAGCAGCGAGCGAGCAGCAGCAGCGGCGACTGAGTGTGCCGGCGGCCATAGCCGCCTGAGGTATCGGGAGTTGGAGGCCTCTCTCCTCCCTCCCCTCGCCAGTCCCCTCTCTCTCTCTCTCTCTCTCTCTCTCTCTCTCTCTCTCTCTCTCTCTCTCTCTCTCTCTCTCTCTCTCTCTCTCTCTCTCTCTCTCC